TTCCTCTTTCCCAGGCTGGGTGAGGCCTGAACAGTTTAATAGGTGAAGTATGTCTACTGTAGATTCTTATTCTTTTTTAAAAATTTCCCATAGGGCACATATGCTTGCTAGAGACACAGAGATAGAGATAGAGAGACAGAAAGTGAGAAAGTACTCTCCAGGGGGATGGCCATGCCACAGTCCCTTGTCCTTTACATTCCTTTGGGGATTTTGGGCATGCACACATAAGCCAACAGGTGTGTTGTTTTAAGTAGCCGGGTCCAGGACTTGAACCTAGCTGTTGTCCATGTGTGATCCAGCTGTCTTAAGCACTATGCCATCTACCTGGCCCAATGATAGATTCCGATAACCCTTTAACAGCCTTTTAAGGATGGATATTATGCTGAGTTTAGGATCTCAAAAGGCAAATAAGGGAAACCAAAATATCTGACCCCCCCAGAAGTTAGTTGCCTCACAATTAGGGTGTATTTAGAAAGGATTGTAACTTTGGTTGTATCTATTGGTACACTCAAGCGTTGTTTTCTTCAAGCATTTTCTTTTGCTGTCATTGTCGCTGTTATTTTGCTTTGTTACCCATCTGCCTACTTGAGACTTTTATTAAAAATACTTTCTAGTTTATTTTGGACAAAGAGTTCTGTTTAATGGTAAAGTCTATTTAATGGATGGTGGAGGAATTAGAAACTTCTCACATGTGGGCACCCCTTGTATATTGGGGTCATCTGCAAAGTTTACGAATGTGATCACTTCTCTGGCTTGCTCCTGGTACAAAAAAAGGGTGTGTGTAGCAAGTCTGAGACTGTTTCTTAGAGAGGCCTGCTGGCTGTTACCCGGGAATGTGAGGGGTAAATGGTTACCTACGCTGATATAAATCTTTCACTCAATGATAAAGGTATTTCATTGTACCCAAACCATACAAACAATGTGGTTTGTGCAGAACCCCTGCTTTCTTTCTGAGAATGTGGATTTTTGGTATGTGCTAGTCAAACAGCCTACACCACTAGCCCCAGTAAAAATCTTGGTTGCTGAGTCTCTTCTAATGAATTTCCCTGGCAGCAGCATTGCACAGACTTTGCTGCATTTTCATTGCCACAGGGAGAGTGTGCTCTGGGTGACTCCTTGTGGGAGAGAGAGAGAGCACAAGGAAGGCTGCACAGTGCTCCTTGGGCCCTGCCTGAGTGTTCTTCCGTATGTATATCTTGACTACAATGCTGTAATAAATCTTAGGGGAGCACTAAACTATATTCTGTGCTCTAGATGTCCTTCTAGAAAAATCTCTGGATGTGGGATAGTCCTGGGAACTACTGAACACTCCACTCTCACTTGAATATCCCTTATTTACTATGAAATTCCAGAAATTCTGATGGCATTATCTTCAAAGATGTTAGTTTCTCATGTACGACCATACATCTTTCAGCTCAGATTTTCCTAAAGAACTAATGTTTATATAAAAACTATTCTTTTTTTAAATTTTTTTATTTTTATTTTTTTAGAGGTTTTTGCTATAGGGCACGTGTGTTTGCCAGAAAGACAGAGAGACAGAGAGATAGAAAGTGAGAAATCCCCCCCTGGGGGCTGGCCACACCACAATCCCTTCTCCTCCATTCTCCTCTTGGGATTTTGGGCAAGCACACACATGCGCCCGGCATGAGTTTTAAGCCACCAGGTCCAGGACTCGAACTGCGGTAGACTATGTGGGAGTCCAGCGACATAGCCATTATGCCAACTGCTGGTCCCAAGAACTATTCTTTTACTTTGCTAAAAGAGTTGCTCTACTTTGAGTCTTTCTTTTGTGACATCATCTCTAAAGTTACTTTACAGCCAAAATCCATGTCATGCTAATAAAAAATAGCTGACAATCTGTAACATTACCAGAAAGTATGATTTTATGTTAATTTCAGAAGAATATGCCAAAAAAATTCCGTGATATGGCTATAGCTAACAATATTAATGATGGGCTCCTCAAACATATGCCCAGATTAAAAAATTAATAAATAATAAATAAAACTCTCTATGTTGGTTAATTTGAGAATTTAACCTTAACCAGATATTTTTGGGTGATAATAAGAAATAATGAAATAACTTCACCTGATCTTGAGTTTTTATATTATTCAAAAACATGTTTTAATTTTTTTCTTCAAGATGATATGAGGTGGCTTCACACCTATGTGCTATAGTTTGAGTTGTGCCATGGGTTGGTCTGGTCAGGAGTACTGTTTCGGCTGCTCACTGTGGACAAGCACCTGGTGTGCAGGTTGCTGAAAGAATGGACCAAGCAGCGATTACACAAAAGAATGAAAAGCTCAGGATATCCATGTTTCCTGAGTCAGATGAACTTTATAAAGCCAATAGACAGTGTATTCTGGATGGAAAATTCATTTTGTATGATGTAATGATGTATAGTGAATTAATGTAAAAATAAATAAATTTAAAGAAAAGGGAAGAAAAAAAAAGACTAACTTGTTAGAACAATAACTGGATTAACTCCATGAACATTCCTTGGTATATAGATAATAAATCTTGGAGTGAAATACACTTTTGGTATCTCTTAGAAGCGATTGAATTTTCTAGGCCACTTTGATATTATTGAATCAGTTAATGCCCAGTGTGCAAAAAGTTATTCTACTCCAAGAGTTTAGATTCTTTACAAAGGGATTAGTACCAGTGCCATTAAGGAACACCAGGCCTGTGCTTATTGCTAATATTAATATTTAAAAGCATTTCATTAGATCCAGGCATTGAAAGTGGGAGCCCAGGATGAAATATTTCCTTGGACAAAAGGCAAGCTCTTCAGAAACTTCTGAATGCTTTCTGTATCAATGATCAGGCCTGCTAGATCTTTTTGTAGGTTTTGAAGTATGTGCAAGACACTAGAAACACAGTGTATTTATTTAATTGCCTTTGAATGCAGATATTTCACCTAAATTCATGATACAGATCTGCTCTCCTCAATAAGACGATGTTAGTCAGTTATTTAGGTAAAGTATGCAAAAAGCACCATTTGAAAGGATAAAGTGTTCTTTAGAAATATTTTTGTATAGAGTAGGGAGGGGTGAAAGTGAGTCTGTTCATCTAGATCAAAAATTTGAGCTCTTAGGTCAGCAGTTAGAACTTGCTTCTTAAATCTGAATGGGTATTATCCTTACCACTCTTCACTGCTTCCTTATGTATCTCTACATCTCTGTCACTTTCTGAGATGGTATTTGAAGACTAGCTCAGGATTGGATGCTTTTCATGTAATGACCACTGAGCTATTTTTGATACACTAGAATCATCCTGTCAGTAATGTCTGTGATGAGCTGCTAGAAAATTACAACTTTAAAGATTTTGAAGATAAATCTATGAATTAAAATGTACTTTGGAGACTTCCTCAACAACATGTGAAAACGCAACATGGGAGAGATTTTTTTTGGTACACTCTCTAAATGCCAAAGAAACCATTAAATAAATTGCAGTTTATATGCACACCCTAAAGATTACCCCTTGTTTGTCCCTAGATCCTAGTCACAAGTCTTATGGGTAGTCTAATGCATGAGCAATTTCAAGAAATAATTGATAAATTACTGTGGACTCAAATGAACAGAGGACTGTCAGTCAAACTGCAGACGTTCTAAGGTACAAGTGGTGCTAAATCTCCCTGCACACTCAGAGATGCCCTGTAAGTCCTACATTTGGTATTTTAAACATTGCTTCACTGTGGGAGCAAAAGAAAGAGCTCACACACATCTTTCTCACATATACATATGTATATGTATATAATAGCTAAATAAGCATTTAGGTAGAAATAGAGAACTGGCATAGTTTTATAAATACACACAGGCATTTATAGGACACAGAAGAAACACAAGAAAGCAGATCAATCGTGACACGCACCATACTCCGGGACCTGTCCTGTGCCCCTCTTCAGCAGCAGCCTCACTCTTCTTCCTCCGGATTTGATGAGTTCTATTGCTCTGGCATGTGTCATATCCCTTGTGCTTTCCCCATTGATTTCAATGATTTGATCTCCTACCTGTTAATTAAAGAAAAATGAAGTCAGCTAAAGATGATTGACTCAAGGTGCATTTTCCACAGATTAAAAAAACATCCCTAGACCCCCAGCTGCCTAAGAGCTTCTGAACAATTTGGTTGCAGCCTGCTGGTTTGTAGAAGAGGTGAATCCCTGGCTGCACCCTGAATCTGAATACCAAACTTTATTTATTTTAATAAGAATGAAAAATATCATACTATGGAGGTTAGAACATATGTCACTCACACTTATCTAGTATGGTAGAGACGGTAGTTAAACTACTCAGTAGTATTTTTGAAAAATTACAGTATGTCTGATACCATGATTCGATAATTTGGTACCTTTGCTTTGAATCAAGAAGTAAATAATTTTAGGCCTTTTCATTGAACACTGTGCCAGCATTGGGCTTAGAGCAGCATCTAATTCAGCATGTTGGAAAGGTTTTGTATCTCTCTGAGAATTTTTGTTATGCATCATTTAAATTTCCCTGGGTGCCATTGTGATACTGCCTTCATTATAAACAGTGGTTGGTTGATATTCAAGTTTGATGAATTTTATTTTAATCACAACCCCCTAAATTAAAAATGGTATCCTCCATTCTCCACACATGACTAATGCCCTTGCTAAATCTTTGTCATGCTTACACCTGATTGCCAGGAGCCATTTGGTTAAATACCAATCCCTTCTGAATTGTCAGAGATGCCTGAATTCTATAAGCAATTTCCTTTTAGCCTTTGTGAATAGATATTTGGAATAAAAGAGGTTCAGCCATGGGTACATCATATAACTCCCACAGTACCATTACTGTCAGGAACCTTTGAATTAAAAAATGTCTCATCTTAGTGCAAGTAACTTAAGACAAATTAGCTAGAAAAAGTATGAGTTGCTTTGTAAAAATGCTATTTTAATTGGGTTCTTTAAACAAAGAAGTTTTCAGTCTAACCTATAATGTAGGCAGAATTGCAGAAAAACCTTCTACAGGCAAGCAACACCAAGGTGGATGCTGCAGACTGGAAAAGGACAGGAAGGAAAAGTTGCCATCACAATCGGATGTTCAGGGAGAACATGCCTGCTGATGACATTGCAAGTGAGTTTTGAAGTATCTGTAGGAGTTCCCTGGATAAAGGAGATGGAAAGCATTCTAGGCAAAGAGAGCAGTATATGCATAGACCCTGAGACTTGAGACCATGTTAGTTAGTTAGTTATAGGGTGCATATACTTGCTGGAGAGAGACAGAGAGAAGTGAGAAATCACCCTCCTCCCAGGGAGGATGGCCATACTGCAATCTCTTTTCTTCCATTCTCCTCTTGGGACCTTGGGCATGTACACACATGACACACTTGGTGTGATTTTATAAGTCGTTTGGTTTGGGAATTGAACTGTGAGCAGCCATATGGGAGTCTAGCACCTTAACCACCACGACACTTGCTGGCCCCAAGTCAGTGATTCATTATGCTACTCAGGCATTTAGGTTTTGCTTTGAAGTGTAGCCTGACCAGAGAAGCAGAGTGGCCTCTAGAAATATCCCCAAGATGTTGCATAGAGAATGGAATGGAGAGAAAGGTGGATGCTGATGAAAGGAGCTGAGTCGTGAAGTTGTCACATCATCTATCCAAGTGAGACAGTAAGGAGGAGATGATGGGAAAGGAACTGGGTCTCATTTAACTGTGTGTTTGCATGTGGTGTGCTATATGTGTTTGTGGATAAATGAATGGCTCAGTTGAGAACCATGGGAGAAGAGGGTATAAGTACTCAACCCCCAAATCAATCCTTGACAGCCACCACTGCCTGAGGGCACTTGTGCCCAGAGACGGATATTCAACAGAAAAACATGTGGAAGGCAAAAGAGACCTTGTGCTGTGATAGAAACAGTCACTTCTTTTGCACTCTGGCCCCATACTTGAGTGTAGGAAGACTTTAATAAAAAGTTGTTTTTTTTCATTCTCCTGCATATTTATTTTCCCTATTCCCTACAAGAAGCTTATAGGAGTTAATGGAGAAAAAAATAGCATGGATGAGAGAAGGAAGGAATAGTTTGGAAAATTGTGTGGGAGGTGGAGAAGCAGAAGTGTTCAAAGATTGTACAAGGGCTGGGCCTATGTCCCCTGTGGAGGTGTTTCAGAGATGGGGACATTATTTTCATTGAGTTCTCAGGAGCCTGGGATAATGTAATTTCAGTTTTCCTGGGGGGGTTTTTTTTTTTTTTTTTTTTTCTGCGAGATTTTTGCTATAGGGTGCATGCGCTGGCCAGACAGACAGAGACAGAAAGTGAGAAATCACCCCCCGGGGGGATAGCCATGTCGCAATCCCTTCTTCTCCTTTCTCCTCTCGGGATCTTGGGCACACACGCACATGTGCCCGGCATGAGTTTTAAGACACCGGGTTCAGGACGCGAACCACAGTCGACTACATGGGGGTCCAGTGACATAGCCATTACACTAACTGCTGGTCCCCCGTGTGGGATCTTCTCAGAGGGAGATGAGAATAGCTCTAAGACAGGCTGAAGACTCCAAAGTCTCTTTCTCATTTCAGAATATCAGTGTGTGTGTGTGGGGGGAGGGGGGGTGCTGCTGATTTCTTACCTCATTGAAAGCACTGAAAATCTGGAACACTCCAAGATCTTACCAAATCTGAAAAATAAACTTCTGGTGGGTGGAATTGTTTGGTGATAGGTGGAGATGCTCTTGCTGACAACTCTGAATGTTGCCAGGTGTTCTGGACATATTGTAAAAGTGAGTCGGCTCAACTCGATCTGTTTTCGTTGGTAGCAGACTCAGCTCAGGCCTAACCTCAAGATTCCTGTCTCTGTAACAACATCTATTGCATAAAAGTTTCATTTTCATTTTCATTTTTGTATCAGTATTATGTATAACCATTTAAATTGGAACTTCCTAAGAAAGTTTGAGGTGTAATTTCTCTCACTTTCACACTCTCAGCATCTGGATGTATAAGATCAATTTGTCAGGAGAGAAGAGGCTCTCTCAGTACTTCATTACCTTCTGACCTCAGCTGACTTCCCTGCAACTGCCAGTGTGTGAACAAAGAGCAGCATCACTTTCCTACATTACAATTGGGAGAATTAATTTGAAAAAACCTACATCACGAATGGGAGAATTAATTTGATAAAACTAATGGTAAATTTGCTGCCCTTTCAGAAATGAAGACGACGACCAGCTGTGACTCTGATGTAGTCTCTTTCTACACTCTCTCCCCTGGGTAGCTATCTTCAACAGAGCTATGTTACTAAAACGAAACTTTAAAGATCTCCATTCATTCTTGCATAATTATTAAAAAATCAAGTTCCTGTTAGAATGAGAAAGAGAATTGAGCAGGGGGAGAGCAAAGGGAAAGAAAGAGGGATGGAGAGAGAGAGAGAGAGAGAGAGAGAGAGAGAGAGAGAGAAAATCAAACCAGGTAAAGGTAGTCCAGGACCAAGTGTGTTGTTTTGTGTGAGTCAAGGAGGTGTCAAATATAAGAAACTAACCAAAATACTTAAGGAGGAATTCTGTGTGTTCATTTTTTCCCTCTATGGAAGAAATACATTTATCTGTGGTCCTTAGCAGTTCTAATGACTAAGGACCTTACAGTAATGTCTTCGGGGCAAGGCAGAGTGAGATGACTGCTGTCTCTTGGCACGGCCTAGCAAGTTCAGCAGTTCCATTCATACCTCTCTGCTCATACGCTATGGCAGATTTTTCTTTAACAAAACTATTACTAGATCCTTGAGCTTGCTTAGGGTTCTGCAGGTAAAAAATTTTTTCTTCTGGGACCAGCAGTTAGCGTAATGGCTATGTCATTGGACTCCCATGTAGTCGACTACGGTTCGAGTCCCGGACCTGGTGGCTTAAAACTCATGCTGGGCGCGTATGCGTGCGTGCCCAAGATCCCAAGAGGAGAATGGAGGAGAAGGGATTGTGGTGTGGCCATCTCCCCTGGGGGTTGATTTCTCGCTTTCTGTCTCTCTGTCTCTCTCTGTCTAGTGAGTGCACACGCCCTATAGCAAAAACCTCTCAAAAAAAATTTTTTTTTTCTGTTCTTATTGCAAAGCTAGGGAAAGTAAAAATAAACATCTCAGTATTTCTAAGCAGTTAATAGTCCAGATTATTAAGAAAAAATGTAAACTCTGTATTATAGCCATTTTTGTAGATGGGTCATATATGTTTAGCTTGGATCAATGAAATATTTGTAAGAATTAGATTCAACCCTGGATTTATTTCAGCTCCAAGTCATGTCAGTCCCAGATGAAAGAATTGCTTGGACATTGCCACAGATTTGCTTAGCCAGTTGTAATCTCTTACTGTCTTCATCCTACTGCACCGGAAGAACCTATTTTGCATGATTATACATGATTGAAATTACTCTAAATTATAATTAGCTATGAGGAATTGAGCTTTTTTAGAATTTTATACCAGTAAGTAATGAATAATCTCTATGCCTTATCTCATGAAAGACTGAGCTGAATGATTTTTGTGAGTAATGATCTGAGGTCACAGGTGAATGCATGATAATTCCTTGCTTACAGGCTGGTTTCTCCAACTAACTCTAGATCCCTCTGGGACAGGGAACACACACCCATACTCCTTGTGTCATCTAAACCTGCTGCAATTCCTGACAGGTAGACCATCAGTTAATCACGGCTGAGTCAGTGAACATTTGGTTTGTTCCTCAGTTATGGTAGATGTCTTCATTTTTGCAACAAAGTAAGTTAAGCTTAGTGCACCCCAGCACACCCTCAGCACACTTTCAGGCTTTCTTGAAATACTGCCTGCCAGAAGCACTTCCAGCCAAGCCATGACAATTTCAATGGTACTTACAGGAGACCAGATGGGGTTTCAGTAACGGTAACTGACAGACTTTACTTGGAGACAGGTAAAGTTCTGGGAAACAAATGGTAAATGACTGAGAGAAAGAGGAATGGAGGTTGAGTCTGAATGAAATTGTAAAATGCAAGGGGAAAAAAAATCACAATTATAGCTTTTGGTGCTATATCATCATTGCTGGGT